TGTAAACATGATAATAGGAATCTAAATTATAACACTTACATAAAAGCAGTACAAACTCAGATATCAGTGGTAGTTTTCCTGCAGGGTGTCAACGCAGTAACACCATCAGCCAGTGCTTAAATGTGTTAGTCCATAGATCATTGAGCGCTGACTGTAAAGTTTAGGAATAATTCTGGCCTTTGCAGGCAGATGAAATGATCAGCAGACCATGAATTCCCATCTCTGCCTGACTGTGTGGTTTGGTGGTATGTGCATGTGTCCACTGACATTAGGATGACGAAAAGGGATTTCTTGTTATTGGCAGTTTTGGGTAGAGACATTGCAAAAAAGGAACGATTTGCGTGGAAATGAAATCAGCATATTAACAGTAGAGACCGATAAAGTAAAGTTTCTACTAGTTGTGTTTTAAATTATCAGGACATTCATTTCTGTATATGTATAATACTTGTCAATTACTTTCCTACAACTCTCACCTAGATTCCTTTTGTCCCATTTTAGATTTTAAAAGGTTGTGTTTTGTTCTTAGGTTTTAAAAAAATAAGTCTATTTTCAAAACAAACTATACATGAACCATGCATAACCATCTATACTCTCAGATTCTGCACAGTTAAACAAGCAACCCAAGGTGTTTTTTTTCACATTGATTTGGAAATTATGATCTATTTTTATATTAATGAGAGGCACAAAGGCCTGTGTTAAAAGTCCTGAGGATAATCGCCTGCCCTTAAAAGGGACCACCCCCATCAAGTGCTAACACCTTTCAGCTCTTCTTCTTCTTACTTTAATTTGTTTAGATTCATTAGCCATAATCTTTGTGTGTTAGTTTATTTGTTGAGAAGTTTTGGATTTATTAGTTATGAGTTTGCTTTTTTAAAGAACTAAACCCACACACAGACATAAATACCAATACAAATTCAGAGCTCATAGATGAAGTCCTAAATTCGGTTTTTTTCATTAAAACAACCTGCAAATAACTATGATCCTTTTCATTTTAAAACTATTTTTGCGTGCTGATACATGTGTATGACTGACTGTTTTATATGTTCAGACGGGGTCTTATCCTAGGTATAGGTACGTTGATGCCTTCAATGTTTAATTTAAAACAAAAACCCTTTTTTACCAAATGCTATGCAAGTCTGAATCCATGTGTAAACTTTAAAATATTAATGTGGACGAAATGTACGGATGCATTCATCCTCTGATCCCCAGATCAATGAAAGTAGTGAGCCTATTATTAATGTGGGGGAGGGAAGGTTGAAGTCCTGCTGAGCTGAAGGCACTCACAGCAGGACTGAACTCATCTGGTGTCAGTGAACATGATTTGCCCAGCCCCATATATACAGATCATATATTTCATTTAAAGCCCTTCTCTCTATAAGTGTGAGTGACTAGTACTGCCTCTATTATAAAGAAGTATTCCTATGTGAATACAGCAGCATTTCAATTGTGCTGGTTTTTAGCTGGTTTAGTGAGTAAAGGGAAACTAAGCTTTGCCTTTTGTCTTGCTTACTAAAATTCATGTCATGTTCAAACTGCAATATCATAAGCATTTTTCTAGTATGGACTTCACTGTAACGGGAGATTGATACATATAAGGGAGTGAGGTGCACCATGATTTCATACCAGGAATGTATACCTGGTTTCATTCTGGCAAAGATGTTCAGTTGCTCCACATATTAGTATTAATTCTTCTTGGGTTCAGTGACAGGGGGAAAGATGCAGAGCCTGAACTGCATAAGTTCTGCTCTAATAGTTACATATAATGCATGAATTCATCTTTTGAGCAATATACAGCAGAGGCCAGGAAACATCAATAAGTAATCACCACAGCCCAAAATATGACACTACATAACAAAGTTTGCATCAATGGGACAGCTGTGTTTGATTGTTTCCTTGAGCTTTGAGCTTTGTCCTAGTTCTACTGTAATGGGCCATTTTCACAACCATTTTGACATTATAGTTAGTATTACTTCTTTGCAGGATCCCCAGGGATTGTGTGTGTCCAGTATCCTGCTAGTTAAGAGATTTTAGAGAAAGCCGCTGTATCATACCATATGTAGATATTAATTTAGTGCGAATGCTGATACAGCATTCCAACTATCTGTTCTTCGAATTCTTTATTATTATTCCGCCGGGATTTTGCACCTCTTCTGCTCCCACATTCCACATCGCAGAAACTCCGTTCAAACATCAAAACGTTCAGCTCGGTCGGGAATCAATGGCTATTACTTTTCTCATTCATAACTTTCGAGATATATCGAGATATATCCCAGAATTCATCAAATGTTTAACATGGTAGTCAATGGAGAAATTCTTCAGACTTCAACAAATCTTCATGCGACTTCAACTGCTAACTGTTCATTCATACTTTCACTCAGAAACCTCATTCCAACTTTAAAATGTTACACATCTTTCTGACATTATTCGTGTAACACAACTTTTAAATCTGATTCTTACTTTTAGAGATATTAAACATTGTTCAGACCTTGATAAAGAGGCCTTCTTCAGATTTTAACATTAACTAGAGTGCGTGCGTCACAGCTAGAGTGTAGGAAAGCTTGAAGTTTGCCTTCATTATTTTTTTTTAACCTGCCATAATTCCCAAACCCTACATTCCTGAGACATAATCTTTCATGACAAACGTAGGAAAACATCTCGTAGCTTGAAAAATGACAAATAATTATGCAAAAATAATTAAACAAAATGCCTCTTGAGGGCATGAAGTGACAAAAACTTTCAACATGTCTCCATTAAAGCCCATTGTAATTTCAGACTGATATTTCCTCACAGCAGCAGCCGCACACCTTTAGTTAATCTGCCAAAAAGGCCACATTATTGACCGGAAAGTACACAAAAATTACACTTCAGATACTCAAGGTCCTTGAGATGCTTTAGGCGTTGAAATTTCACCGATATCTGTTACGGTTCTTCAACAAAACGTTCACATGTAACAGGTTTATCACTCATTCAGAACAATGAAAATGCTCTCCTCTAACTGATTACTGCACATCACCATGGAAACCTTTCATCTCTGGACACGTCGTTAGCTAAAATATAAACACCTGTGTCATGGAACACGATGATGTCATAACTCCAACTGACATGCTCAGAGCAGCAGACTTCAGATAACGGTTAATGGTCCTGCCCTCAACAGCTCTACGTCAATTATGGGGTGTCATCATATGCCGTTTCCATGGAAATGCATCCCTCGCCATAAAACACGATGTCGCTGTAACTCCAATGGACACGGTCTGATCGTCCCCCAAACTTTGCTTGTATATCACCGGTCCATGCCTCAACAGCTTTACGCCAAATCTGAGACCTCACCATAGGCTGTTGCCATGGAAACGCATCCCTCACCATGAAACACGATGTCGCTGCGGCTGTAGCTCCAATGGACACGGCCCGGTTGTCCCACAATCTTCACCTGTATATCACCTCTCCAGCCCTCAACAGCTCTACGTCAATTAAGGAGTTTCATCATATTAGGTTTCCATGGAAACGCATCCCTCGCCATGAAAGACGATCTCGCTATAACTCAAAAAGTGCTCAAACTTCACATGTGTGCTAACAGTCCAGCCGTGAAGACATCTACGGGACAGTTTTGAGATTTTTTCAAATGCCGTTGCCATGGCAACACAATGCTCACCATGAAACACGGTTTTCTCATAATTTCAGTGAAAATGCTCTAAATGGCCCAAAACTTCACAGGTTTGGTAACGATCAATCATCAACGCATCTAAGCGTATTATGGGATGTCATCAATGCCGTTGGCATGGCGACAGATCATTCACCATCAAGTTAGTTCAAAAGTTTGCAGTTCAAATATTCTGCTGCTTTTCCAAGCATTTTTACTTGTGTTCATGTATCATTTCAATCTAAATTCTTCACTTTCTTCTTGACATGTTTACAAGCTTTAATGATATAAAAGTGCTTTATTTTTCTCATACTGCCTGTGCTGAAGCACCTCTTTTCACCCTCTGTTTGAAACCAGAGCCCAGTCTACTCTGATTGGTGAGCTGGCCGGCTCGGTTGTGATTGGTCATCTGCTTTGAGCTGTTGACCCCTTAGCTTATGTACAATGTTTTGGAGCGCTAGCCAATAGAAGTGCGAGTGTTACAAAGTGATAACACTACATCTCTGGAGGGGAATCTGCGATTTTAGCCGATTTTGCAGACCATTTAAATGCACAACAGCCAATAATAAGACACTACAGGAAAGGGAAAACCCCACAAAAAGCATAATAGGGCCCTTTCAATTAATTCTGAACTGAGGTTCTACATTTGAATTATCTAAGACATGAGCATGATAGCTAAAACGTATATTTAAAAACTCTAGATATCTGCAAAAAACCACCTCCAAAAAGTGGATTGACTAAAGTATGTTATGGCCTTAATGAGGACAATACCTACAACATTTTCAAGGTTTAAACAAGAGGAATCTTGGCTTCTTTGTCAGTGTGGCAGGCACATACTGTTGGGAGAGAGAGACAGAAAAATATAGGGAGAATTCAAAATATATTTGGTTAATACATGTATTCTGTGATATTGAAACAGCCGCCTTGTGCTGTTGTTAATACGCATTATGGAGGCTGTTGCATGTTTTAATTTATTTTAGGTTAAAAAAAAAATGGCCTCAAGCCTCCTTGGCCACTTCATTTTGGCGACAGCTGAGTGGCAATTATAATTATGTTTCTTTGATTGGATTCTGGAGTCAGTACAGTGACGGCGGGGAATGATTTGATGTACTCATTTTGTGTTGATAAGAACCCGAGGTTCCTATTCTATCAGTCAACAATCGATGTAGCACAAAGCAGTGTTAACAATAGACAGTAAACATTGTGTGCATCTTCTGCATGTGCTGCTGTGTAAGGGATTAACTAAAAATAGAAGTATTCAAAAAGCATATTGTTGCAATCTGCTGTAAGCTGTAACTGTTGGAGGGCAGAACAAAGGAATTGTATAGACCTAGTACAGTATGTCAGAGCTGCCGTTTCATAAATGCCCATGAAGCCTTGCAACAAGAGAGTCCAAGGTAATGTTATATATGACAAGAATAAACCAAACATTGGCCTGTAATGAGCTTTGAACTGCCTGTAAGAGCCCTGAGGAAAATACAAAACTGCCCAAGAATTTCTGGAGGCTGCATTTTATGAGTATCAGCATACCAAAAGTAGCAAAATCATTGTTTTAAATCAAAATTAAATCAAATCAAGTTTTATTTATATAGCACATTTATAAACGATTTTTGGTCGAGCCAAAGTGCTGTACATATAATAAAATTAGCCTACAGTAGAGACACTTTACAGCAAATACAACAGCACAGATTGTTCAGAATATCAGTATGAGAAAAAAAACGACACCCTCTTTCCTAGACCCTCACATCGTACAAGGAAAAACTTCCAGAGAAAAACCCACAGTTTAAGGGGAAAAAATGGGAGAAACCTCAGGGAGAGCAACAGAGGAGGGATCCCTCTCCCAGGACGGACAGACGTGCAATAGATGCCGTGTGTAAATCGAAGAGATAATACATTTTACAGCATATAGACCGAATGTTAGGAAATGCATGTGTCTGTAATAAGAAGATGAATCCACGAGGATCTCATCTACAATCCTGTGGAAGCCATCAGGGAAGCAGCATGACGAGACCCAAGGCAGGACCGCAGAGACAGGTTCAGCCACGACCCGAAGTCCACGACTTAATCCAGAACTCAGGATAGAGGATCCAAGACACAGGACTACAGCAAGAGGATCAGCCTCGACTCCGGATCCCGGCGTAGATATAGATACAAAACAAGAAAAAAAAAGATTTGGCTGGGTTAATCTGAACAAGAGAATACACAGACACAGACAGAGAGGGAAAAGGTCATTGGATAAAAGTTATTCTTGATAACCCTTTAGAAAGATCTCATGAACTTCCCCACTCAATCTATCAAGACCCGAGCAGTTCTATTAGAAGTCCAAGGTAAAGGCACAGGCCGGCGCATACCGCTCATGGAATCCCTCACCATATGAACTCTGACCCCTCAAGTGTACAAGTGAAGAAACACCATGTGTCAGCTCCTTTTTAGAATAGTATTTCTTCTCTTCTCAGAGAAACAAGGGTATGAAAAGAACAGCCAGAAACAGAGGAAGAGAGGCACAACGTGACTACGTAAATGCACTCTCCTAAATATTAAACGAGTAAGAGGTGAAGAAACACAAAGCCAGAAATTGAAATTAAAAGGCACCATCATGCTTCCACTTAGAATAGGGTGGAACAGCTGCAATTAATATCTATAACTGTAAGAAAAGTTTCTTAAAACAAATCATTATAATTTAGGAATACAGTACATTACTCCCTTTAAGTTGATCCTTTGTCTTATTCTGGAATGTAAGTAGGCTACATGATTTATGTTGTGTTTTTCTGCATCTTATCTGCAAAAGTATAAAGATGTGTGAACAGATAGCAGAGACGTTTAAAGTTGTTGTATAACCCAGAACCTTTACAGCTCTGTCAATTATACACTTTCATTTTATCCCCTGCATGCACCTCTCTTATTTCTGCTCAGTAATAGCTCAGTACATGTCGTCTGCACTGTCCCATGTAGAGGGACATTTTAGGACATGGCAGGGGGAAAACCTACGAGTGTATTTGCTCTTCACATTGCCTGCCTCTTATGTGGTGCTACCCTTTGCTTGGTGAGGAATTGGTTCATTTTGTTGTACTGTAGTTTGATAACTGGAAACTTTAAATCAACTTGAAATTAATAACATTTTTGTTATCTTTTGTTTAGCCCACAACAAAAATATTCGGTGAGTTATTTTGTTTTTCAAGCAAGATTGACTTTTGTCACTATTCTGATTTTCTTTCTTTTCAGTAAAGTTTCTTAACAGTTATTTTCACAACCAATTTCACAGACTATGATGTTGACGGTGGACGTGACCTCGACATTTTTGACATCAATGAAGGTATGTCGACATTTTTAATCCTCATACCTCCATTATTGTTTTTTTATGTACTTTTCAGAGAGCATTGTTTACCATTTGTTTATTGTGCGTGGTGTCCATAGACGCAGGGTTGAATCTTGTAGAGGGGGACATCGTGCTTGATCAGGTATGTCAATATAACTTCATTTATTTTTCTATATGGAATAAAGCTGTTAAAGTTCCTGTCTTCGTGATTGTTTTTATTGACTGCTACAGAGGCAAACGAGAAATTCCATATTAGGAGATGAGTACAGGTGGCCAAAGACGATCCCATACTACATGGAAGATGACTTAGGTAAGAGTGGCTGTTGCCGCCTGGATTTACAAGCTGTTTCACCCAACACTACATACAGTAAAGCAGTTATAAAAGCTTCATCTTTACCAACTAGGTTTTTAAAGTGCTGCATACACGTCAATGTATTGATAATACTGATCCAATCATACAATGATGAATAATGACTGGTCGTTCTGCATAAAGAATACTTTACCTTTTGGTTCTTTAAGTACATTGTTAAATGCAGGACTTGCAGTTAAGTATTTTATATAGTGTTTTAAAAAAGTAACACAATCTTAAGTGACTTCAGCCCTTGTGTTTTAGTGACATTGGCTCGACTTCCTCACTGTTGTAGGTCCCCTTGCCCCTACTGTTGTATTATGTCAAAAATAATAGCAATTGCAAAAGTCAAAAACAAATTCCTACCTAAATTTGTTTTTTATTTTCTTCTTATGTCATTGAAATACGATATTTAGAAAAGTGGTGACACTTGTCTTTGCTATAGACTGAGCTTGTGTTTTTGATAACAAGTGACAACATATGAAAACAAACAGAAATACTTTTTAATGACCAAAGGAAACATTTACATGGGTGATGCATTAACACATAATTAAGTGACTAATGTTTAAACAAGCAGAAACATTAAAACAAACTGATTTTGTTTGAAATAATATTTCCAATATCTGTATATACTGGTATGTTATATTTAATTATGTCAAACTTGTGCTCAAAGCGTTAGAGCGAGTGAGTGAGAACATGTACACCACAGGGGGTATGATGTACTGTATGTTTGATGTTCAGTCATTTACAGTCGATTCAGACATTCAAGTCTTATGGGAGTGATCTTGAACCTTAACATTTAAATAATTAAAGGACTTTTTTGAATATTCATAGCATTACTTTATACAGTATAGTATAGGATCTGTGAGACATTTTTCATAATCTTCAACATAATTGCTTTATCATCTTCTCTGCAGAGATCAATGCAAAAGGTGTGATTCTGAAAGCCTTTGAGCAGTACCGGCTGAAGACCTGCATTGAGTTCAAGCCTTGGAGCGGAGAAGACAACTACATTTCAATCTTTAAAGGCGGCGGGTAAGGAAAAACGAATTTGTATTCTGTTATGGTCTTTAGAAGGCAGGACAAGATGTACTTTCTCAAGGATCAATTCATTATTTATACTGTATTCTATGATTCAAACTAAAGTTCTCAGTGTGATGTTCATTAAAGCCTTGAATGTATTTTATCCAAAAGCTGTTTCTCCTCTGTTGGAAACCGGCGAGTTGGGAAGCAGAGATTGTCAATAGGGAGTAACTGTGACCGCATTGCCACCATTGAACACGAGTTCCTTCATGCTCTGGGTTTCTGGCATGAGCAGTCGAGGGCAGACCGTGATGATTATGTTAATATCATGTGGGACCGCATCTCAGAGGGTAATGAACCTGCCACTACTTTGACAACTAAAGCAGAATAAAGGATTTGATGATTCTTTGAATGCATACTCTAACAAATCAGTAAAAAAAGCACACATCATTGAAGAAGTTTGTTACATAGGACTTCATCCAGCAGTTAATGTATTGCTTGATTGATGCATGTGTTGTTTACTTGTTGAATAATCTTAGCTAGATAATCATTATGAGGACATAAAGGAATATCACATCTTGTATCTTGGTTGCATTGACCTACGCTCCTCCTACGATCTGTCATTAAAACAAATTGTACCTTGATGAATAAGCAATCTTTTATCAGGTCTTTAAAGAGGTTCAGCTTGATAGGCGACTTTGATTAGTGATCCTAATGAACACCTCTAATCCCCCCCCACATTGTGATAAGGAACTGCACTGACACCTCTCTTTACACCTGATCCACAGGAAAGGAACACAACTTTAAAACCTACGACGACACCACCTCCAGCTCTTTGGGCGTGCCCTATGACTACGGCTCCATGATGCACTACAGTAAAAACGCTTTCCGTAACGGCACAGAGGCAGAGCCCACCATCGTCACCAAGATCCCTGCTTTCAGTGATGTCATTGGCCAGCGTATGGAGTTCAGTGACAGCGACCTGCTCAAGCTGCACCGCCTCTATAACTGCAGTAAGAGGCAACAACAAAAGTGAAATTGTATTATCTTGAGGAGAAGTGTTGTGTCAGTTCATACCACCATTCTTCTTACACCGTATTCTCTTATGTCATTTTTAAATGTCAATTAGATGGCTTATCTTTAGATTTTTTTGCCAAATGGAAATATGTAGATAAGCAAAACATTGTCCTGAATAGTTGATCAGTTTATAGCAGTTCAAAGTCCTAAACCCGAGTATGTTTATGCAATGTCTTATAGCCGAAGGGTCCACTTTTCTGGACTCATGTGACTTTGAACGTGAGAACATCTGCGGTATGATCCAGGGAGAAGGGAAAACAGCAGACTGGGTTAGGATTGCCAAAGCTGAGGGAGGACCCAACACTGACTACTCCAACATGGGCAAATGCACCGGTGAGAATTATCGTGCACGGACATGGTGTAGTCAGTTGCACAGCTCTGCATCAAAGGTTTACTTTTTCATTTGTTTCAAGTCTGTCTCCGAAACGTACGCAGATACCTATACGGCATGTCTGAAAAAACAATTGAAATACAATTGATAAAAAAACAGCCCTTGTCTGTAAAAGGTTTTTCCAAAGCTCAACCAAAACTAGAGTCTCGCTTCAGCAGCCAAATCAAGTGGGTACCTTCTTGATACTGTCATCTTAGTATGACATTCTCATGCTGTGATAAAATGCCTCTACTACAAAGCAACTAGAAAAAATAGAGGGAATGTCAACACCCACATTTGAAAAGATACCCACTTGATTTATTTGAGTTGAATGGATGGAGCCTCTTCACCACTGAACTCTAAAATGCAATTGAAAAATGTTTTGTTCCAAATCTCCTATATTAAATATGCATTTGGAAGGGAACAGTCTTTGAGATAGACTTGATAACGGTTAATACATTATATAATCATTTCTATATGATACATTGGCTTGTAAACTTCTTCTTATCACCTTCTGTGCAAAAAGCATTAAAATAAAAATGTAGACCTAATGCTTAGGTACTGACCTTTTTAATCAAGTGAAATTTGTATCTTTAGGCTCGGGGTATTTCATGCACTTCAACACTAGTGCAGCCAGTAATGGGGATATGGCTCTACTGGAGGGCAGGATCATTTACCCCAAAAGAGGATACCAGTGTCTGCAGTTCTTCTACTACAACAGCGCCGGCCCCAGCGACTCACTGAAGATCCATGTCAGAGAATATGACACATCTAACCCCAACGGAAAACTGCGCCTTATACAGACCATAGATGGTACATTTGACTACATTTCACTACAGCTCAAAGTGTTACAATTTTGCTTGTGAAGTGTGGCTATCAAAGAATTGCTGTTCAATCAAATCAATGTTTTACCTCAACAGGGTCCCCTCAGGAGCAGTGGCAACTGCACCATGTGAGTCTAGACGTCAAAAATAAATTCCGAGTTGTCTTTCAAGGGTCCAAAGAGGGTTCTGGGCCCTTAGCAGGAGGACTGTCACTGGATGACATCAACCTCTCTGAGACCACCTGCCCAGAGTTTATATGGCGGGTGAAAGACTTCGCTAACGTTATGGACAACACCCCGGCAAACACATCTATCTTCAGCCCACCATTCACCTCTAAGGAAGGTTACACCTTCCAAATGGAGCTGTACCCCAGCGGTAAGACAGGCTACCCTGGGGAGCTGTCGGCCTATGCTCATTTAGTGGCCCGTGAAGGCGATGTTGGACGGAAATGGCCATGCCCCTGGAAACAGATAACCATGATGCTGATGGACCAACACGCACACATCCAAAAGCGCATGTCCAACCAGCGCAGTGTCACCACTGACCCCAACATGAAGCCAACAGGTGCAGCAACATCAACTGTCAAAAAGATTCACGTTGATGATTGTTTACATTAAACTAAATCATGAAAATACTATGTTGTAAAACCTTTCAATATTCCTTTAAACAGGCTCCGACACGTTTTTCTGGGACGACCCTCGCAAGGTGGGCGTTGAGGTCACACAAGCAGATGGGTCCAAGTATTTCCGAGGGCCAGGGGCCGGCACTGTAGTGTATCTCACCCACCTCAGAGCCAAGAGCAGGGACTTTATCAAGGGGGGAGATGCCATCTTTCTCCTTACCATGGAGGGTAAAAGCACCGTATTGCACTATAAACTCAATACATTTCATTTGTAATTTGCCCCTTTGAAGCTATGAGGACTGTATTGCTATTTATGTTAAAAGAAACACACCCATCCCGTCATATACAATATGTATTAATTAATATGCTAAATAATCATCAGGGGCTACCGCACACAATTGCATATTTGTGTGATCATTAACACCTGTGGGGCATGATTACACCCATGATTTATTCACAAAATTGTTTAGAAAACACTGCAGTCAATGCAATACCTGCTCTTTCATTTGCTTTCTTCTTCAGATGTGTCTCATTTGACGTTGAGCCAGCCTATACCTCCCACGACCCAGAAACCTGCGACCACGACCCAGCAACCTAACACCACAGCACCCCCTGGTGTCTGCCTCAATGTGCAGTGTCTGAATGAGGGTGTGTGTGTGGTGGCTGAAGGGAAGGCTGCCTGCAGGTGAGAGCTCTGACTGACCCTGCAATCACTATGCTGTTAATGCAAAATACATTCTCACGCTCTTCTTCATGGCTTTGTGGTATTATAATATAAGATCATTTCATTTATTTTTTATTTCATAGCTTCCATGTTATGCAAACCAATGAGTAAAAATCAATGCAACATTCTCTTACTACACTCAACACGTAAGACAGACACGTTTTTAATCGGTTGTCTATTTTGTACTATATTTTTATGAAAAAAATCAGCTGTTTTATAGATCTTAAAAGGTCACCTATCATGCTATTTTTACTCAATATCATAGGTCTCAGATAAATATATAAAAAACACGTCTATGAAGTGTTTTGCTCAAAATACCAAACAGATCACCCATTCTAGCCATGCCTCATATCTCTCCATTTCACTTCCTGTTTCAAAAGTGCTGATTTTATGTATTAAGCTTAAAAATATAATTAATTAAATTGATACGAAAAAAAGAGGAGGAGGCTGAGGTCATGCGGGACCCGGCAGCAGCTACTTACTAAACTAAATACTGCTGTGATGAAACGCCATATCATGGATTATCAAAAAGTGCATTTTGCATGATACATGTAGGTCCCCTTTAAGGTTGTTGCTGCACAAAAACTTTTAACGGAGAAAATAAATAGCTAATAAAAATCAATAAAGAAATACCTGGCTGAATTTATTGAATTCTAAAATTCAATAAAAAGGTGTCTCTCTCTCAGTACATAATACATTGTTGTATCTTATAATTATCTCCTAGAAAGCAAATAAGCGCATTGCAAAACACATTTTTAAAGGGATCACGGTGTAATATTTGGTACTCTTTTCAGTGCTCTGTGTTTTTATCATTGTGTTTTTTCATTAACCTTAAAATGATCCCCTTCAAAATCTACATCAGGACACACCACGACAAAAACCGAACCATTGATGCCCCCAAGCACTGTCCCTTTTTATATAAAATGTTGTAGGAACATTTAATTAGAACTGGTATAACCAATATTTGATGGTCAATTTCCCCAAACAGCACTTCATATAAATGAAGCTAGAAAAATATAGCAAAACGTTTCCTTTTTGATTCTTTTTCAACTTGTTTAATTAGTTTACTGTAAGTTCTTCCACACAATTTCCATCACCTTCTATAAATGCTGGGAAAACCTTTGGGTACATTGTCTCTCATCCTCTCCTTTCTGATCTCCAGGTGTGTGGTGGGCGATGACTGGTGGTACTACGGGAACAGCTGTCAGCACAAGGGCTCAACCTCAGATAAAACCAACCTTGCACTTGCCTCTTCTCTGTCTGTACTGGGAGTAATGCTAGTGGTTACAGCAGTCAGCGTCATCTGTTTGAAGAAGAAGTATAAGAAACGCAGTAATGGCAACAGTGTTGTCATGGAAAACATGGGCGCCAATTACAAACTGTAGTGCAAGTCCCTCAACTTTCCATTGATAACTTTTTGAACAAAAGAAAACCACAAAAATGTAAGAGAAAAAAAATGATATTTTCAGTTCAATGATTATGCTAAATTGATCATTCATGTTCAATGCTTTTGATAAACCGCTTTGCATTTCTAGATGAAAGACTTTTAACTCCAGTGCTTAAAGGTAAAGCAATTCCATACTGTGTAGAAGATGATCATATCACTATGTGAGATTGCCCTCTTCTGGTCATTCAATGTAAAAACACTCAAGCGAACCAAGATCCTCATTTCAAATAAATGATTTTGAAATTCCAAAGTCTAATATGAATCTTTTCACATTTAACATAAACTCATCATTAAGACACATCCAAGACAGCATGACTTATATTCACAAATTTAAAATTTATTATATCAAAGACAGGAACATCTGTGTTGTCTCTTTTCCATGTGGATATATTTGTTTGTATTACTGAACTTGACACAGTCATGCCGGTGATAACAGCTACTGTAGGAGGGAGCTGGGACTAATATTGTGTGTGGGAGTCTGTGTTTGTGTGTTTTTGTGTATGTATGTGCGTGCATGCAAGTGTGCATGCAACAATCTGTCTATTAGTGTTCATTAGATACAGTGACGACTACAGGACATCACAATCAAACAAAGTGGAGCAAACCATGGCAACTTTGTGTAGTTATATTGCATGGAATGTTGGGTTTTTCTGCACATTAACATGTGTGTCTGTGTGTGTCTGTGTGTGTTGTATTTGTGGGTCTACGCTGTAAGATAAAAAGAGGGGGTGACATCTCCATAACAGCAAATTAGCAAATTCTTGGTGAACCTCACGTCCTCCTCACCACTAAAACCTTCACCGACATACAGGTACGTAGTTCCTTTTAAAAGCATCAGTATACAACATTTCTCTTATTTACAATCATTGGAAAAAAATCACCGTTTCTCTCAGAGAAGATTAGTAAAAGTGACTGAGTCACCATAAAGAGTATGCAACTCCTAGGAGTTAGTATTTCACATTTCTACAAAAAATTTCTATGCCATTTTACAGGCCAAGAGCCATGATTTACTGAAGAAATACAGTATTTTAAGTGCCCTATCTACAACAGTTAAGTGTGGTATTACTGGTGTACCATTCAACAAAGTTCACTGATAATAAAAAGATGATGTGTCTTTGTTTTAAAAAGTTCTTTCAGCAACTTCACTGCTTTCACATTAAAAGATATGGTAAGTTCTTACAAAACAAACAAACAAACCATGGAACTGTTATCCATATAAACAAGTGTTGTGGCGAGCTAATGCTATTGCAAAAAGACTAGTGTTGCAAACATACTCAGCTGGTCGTCTAATGTAAAAACAACGTTACACAGTCTTTGAGAAGGGCACAACTATGAACATCAAAAGCCTTTCCAAAAGGGTTGAGTGTCATTAAAGGGATCATTTGCTTTTTAAACTCTACGAGTAGTTTGGGTAGAAGTGGGAGGGTCAGGTTACAGTGCATGGATCTCCAATGATGTGGCTGTTTACAGCAAAGAAGGCTATATATAAAAAAAAAAAGAAGAATGATCCAACTGTGCATTTTAGAGCCTCTTGAGGAAACTCATTTGTTTGTGTCCATGTTCGGTACATCAGACTGGTTAGGTCAATGGTACAGTAAGCTTCTGTGCATGCTGCAGCTGGGAGTGAGATGAGGCTGTAGTCGTGTTGTTGTTGTTCAGAGAGGGGTGTCGTAGTAGTCTGTGGGCTGATCGGTCCCAGGCGGCTTCTGCTGTTTCTGCTGATGCTGCTTCATGATCTCCTTCACCTCCTCCTCCAGCTCCGGCGGGATGATGAACTGGTCATCTGGGTCGGGCTGGGCTGGAGCTGTGAAGTAACCCCCCGACTTCTTAGAGGGAGCATCAGCGGCCACCTCAATCAGGTTGTGACTTCTTTCCTGACGTGCCACCGACCCATTTGGCCTGCTCTTGCCTGTAGACTTCCCGCCGTCCCCGCCTCCTGCTCCCACTCCCTGCCATGACTCATCTCTCTCTAACCCATTCTCAGCCTCCCCGAGGCCCATGGCGACCGCTTCCTCCAGGGGCTCTGGGGTGCACGGTGGTGGGGGGTGAGTCAGCATGGGGCCCTCTTGGCTGGAGGATGAAGGTAATGATGTTTGCGGTGATGAGGAGGAGGCGGACTCTGCTTTGAGGCAGTGGATATCCGCCTCTACTTCCACACGGCTCCCGTTAGAGAACACACCGGCGATGGGCTCCTCGTCCTCGCTGTCCAGCCCGTTGTCAGACAGGGCGCTGGAGAAGGTGGCGCTGGACAGCTGCCTCTGGAAGGACCCCGCTAAACATGCAGGATGGAGGGCACAGCAGCTGCGGGAAGACGGCAGCTCTGAACCCGGGAACAGGTACTGGCAGTGCTGGGTGCTTGTGTGGGCCTGTTGGTGCTGCAGGGATAGCGAGTGGGCCTGATGGTGCAGGGGGAGGTTTGGATGGTGGGGCTGCTCGTGCAGCTGCACCAAGGAGCTCTGCGGTGGTTCATCTGATGAGGCTGTGGAGCCCACCTCGCTGCTCATCTCGCTGGTGCTGATCTCACTGCTGATTTCACTGCAGGAGGAAGGGACTGGCAGGGAGCCGTCTGAGGGCCGCTCCTTGATGGCAGAAGACGACGGGGGGTAGGGGCCCAGGCCGGGGCTGGGAGGGGGCTGGGGAGGCTCTGAACAGCAGCAGGAGCAGCAGTCCTCACTCACACTGAGCTGGACCACAACTGCGCTGAGGCTGTCGGTGCAGCCGTATCCCTGCGCCAGCGTGCACAGCTTCTTCGCAGCAGCCAGGCCGTCAGGGACGTTTCGAATAGCCTCCACTGCCTCGGTGGGAGACACAGCATCCCACAAGCCCCGGCTACCCAGAATGAAAAACTCATCCTGGGGGGTGAGAGTGACTGTCTGCACGTAGGGACAGGGTATAACCGATGGATAGAGGAAGGAATAACCCATGATTCGCGTTGAGTCGGTCACACCATTCACCTTGTTGTCCTGTAGAATAGAGTATAAACATCAATATTGAGTTTATGCAGCTTGTATTTTAAATGACATGAATGTACTTTACATTGATTTCAATATACTAGGGATTTCAAGGATGTCTACCTCAGTGATGATAGCCCTGTGCTGCCTGATCCTGCGGTATTCTTCCTCAAGCCCAATATTTTGGAGCAGAGACAGCGATAATGGCTTTCCATCACGGCACAGGATGGCCTGGCACTTGCCCACATTAGCAGCTGTGAGGGTGAAGCAGCCCCCGGGGTCAGTGGGGTCATGGCGGATGTGACACAGAGCCGCTGAGCCACCCAGTTTCTGCCCCGCAGTTCCCAGTTTTCTATGGTGGCAAAGAAAGAGTGGACAGAGTCAATATTTCAAAGTTCTAGTCTCAATTTGTTTCAAATGTAATTTGTGCAAGAAGTTTAAAAAGCATGAAAAGTATGAATTGATAAAAGTGCCATGTACTGTACCTCTGCATAACAAGGAAGGTGTTGGTCATGTAGTCCTCTTTGCTCTTGGTCTTGTGTATTTCTTCAGCCAACACGTCATTCATTGTGCACTGCAACAAGTAGGGCACCTCCACATTCCTATCACCATCGAACACACCATACAGAGCCTCACGACTCCCGCAGAAACTGTTCACTGAAAGAGCCGCAACACACAGTCTGAAAAGAAAACAAAAGAAGGCCATGGCGTTATTGAGGCATGTGCTCAGTGAGGAAACAATGAGGGATTCAAAAATCAACATTGATCTAGTACCTCACTTACTAATAATCATGGGGGAAAACTATGGTAATTTGACTGTACAGCAGAACTTCCATCATCAAAGCAGATGTGATTGAACACTTAAGTGGAAACATTAGGTACAATTGCTCGAATCACTCCTTTAGAAAGCACGTTAAAAGTGTTGAATTGACATTTTAGCCCATACAAAGAATTCTGGCACGGAAGTATGCATGATTCATTTTTACCAAAAGGCACTGTTTCAATATTTCCCTCGTTTTAGTCCTCTGGCTTTAACAATGCACGTCCTGGAGAGGTTTGGATTAGTGTTGCTTCACTGGATTAGTGTGAAGGTGGTTGTTTTTCTTGTCATTGACTGAATTTGACTCACTTATTCTTAACGCCCGAGGCCTCTGTGTAACCATGACTCCACACAGCAGGCCCACCAGATGCCTCATTCGACGAGAAGGTTGGAGGCGGATCAATACGGAAGCAGCGAATATTACTGAAAAACAACAAAACATACAATAGATGACATTCACTGTAAAGACACAGGAGCCACTCACAGTATTTTACTCAGGGTACTTTTATACAATGGTTTATACCATTAAAGGTTAGATAAGTATATGTACAAATAAAGTTATTTGGGAGACAGCAATAAATATGTTAGAAGAACAAAAAACTGCAAGTAACAAAAATATATAAATCTCACATATTTATCGATTATTACAATAAGCAGTATTTTCTTTCACTGTATAACATTTAATTTGACCTTCTATTTTTAGCTCATCATCTCTTACATTACTTCTTGACCTATTCTTATAGTTTTCTTATTTTCTAAATAGTTTTTTGTCTTATAGATGTTTAAGTTGCATTGTTGGAGGACCCAGGGACTTAACATTGTTATTGCTATAACTACACTGTAGCTTTGCATATGACAATGAAGCCTTTTAACCTTTAAACCTAAATGTAAACCGAGCCAATACTACACGTGATGAAAAATGCAATACTTCTGTGCAAAATGTAGGTTATAGTCACATTACTACAGTAACAAAAGACCTACAGAGACAAACAATGACATACTTGAGCTGCTCGAGGGTCTTGTGATCCAGGTTGAGACGGGGGTTTCCAGTCAGGTCCAGCTCCTGAAGCTTTGGAGGCAGATTCTCTGGTAGTGTGATCTCATTGAGCTCATTACAGCTCAGATCCACACACTGGCAACAGAGACAAATATGTGAACACTCACACACACTCACACACAGTTCAAACTGGGGGTCTCGTACGCCTACTGTACATTAAGATGCACAGAGATGTTATGATGCATTACTACTGTCTTACTTTCATCTCCATCAGCTGCATGACCTCAGGGAACACCTCGATGGCGTTGGAGTGGGCGATGAGTGTGTGCATTCGC